AAGCTCTGGGTACGGACCACTCGGCTCTACGGACTCGTCCGAAGGTGGAGCTGAGAGCGAGTGGCCGGTAGATAGAGGAGTGGGCTGTGGCGAGGAGAATTGGAAATCGAAGCGCTGAAGGACCTAGTGCACCATGTGTGACTGAGTCAGGGTGATGGTGCGCCGTGCTCCGTCTCGGGTGATTTTCAAGCCAAGATAGCTGCGCAGTTCACCCAGGTCAGTGCAGGTGTGTCTCTTCTGCAGCTCCGATTTCACAAGGGTTAGTGCCTCAGTGTCAGCAGTGGCAAAGACGAGGTCATCGACGTAAACGAGGACGTAGAACGGCAGCAGCGAGGTGTCGGTGCGTAGAAACAGCGACGGGTCAGCAGTAGAAGGAGCAAACCCAAGAGCCGCAAGTGTAGTCCTCAGTGTGTCGTGCCACTCGCGAGGCGCCTGGCGGAGACCGTAGACTGGTCGGTGGAGGCTCCACTGGGTACGGGAGAGGCAGAGACCTAGGAAGACCAGAGACAAGGACGCGGGAGTGCATGCCACGCAGGCGTGGCAGGGAGGGGTGACCAAGGCGGTGGTGCCAGAGGAGAGTCTGGTGCGACAGGAGGCGACACGAGCAAGGGGCTGCTACCGGACCTGACGCGGACACCTGGGCAGACGCAGCTACCTGAGGAGGCTCGGTAGCCAGTGTGTACATACTCGACCCTGGCCGACGAGTGAACGTGGCCAGGTGACGACCCGTATGTGTACACGTGCAGATCGACACACGCTGACCCCCAAGAGTTGTGGTAGTGACCATCGAATCCTGGAGGGCCGCGGTACTCACCAAGTTCGTAGAGAACGAGGGGAGGTGAAGACCTGACAGTGAGCCGGACGGAACCGCCGGACAAGGGAGGACAGTGGAGGAACGGGCAACGACCAGGCCCCCAGAGGGGTCAGCCTGTCTGACCGGTGCAGGTGCAGGGAGAGGAGTGATGGTGGTGCTGTCACGAAAGAAACAGCGTGAGGCACCTGAGTCTAGCGTGAAACTGTGCAAGGCCTCAGCAGGCGCAGTACTAGGGAGAGAAGACTCACCAGCACCTAGAGCAGCAGCCTCTATACCTGGGTCAGGCGGCACACAGCGGTAACAGTTAACAAGGTTCTGCTCTTAAGAAGGGCAGAGAACAGCCTAACAAGGTTCTGCTCTTAAGAAGAGCAGAGAACAGCCTAACAAGGTTCTGCTCTTAAGAAGAGCAGAGAACAGCCTAACAAGGTTTTGCTCTTAAGAAGAGCAGAGGACAGCCTAACAATGTTCTGCTCTTAAGAAGAGCAGAGAACAGCCTAACAAGGTTTTGCTCTTAAGAAGAGCAGAGAAAAGCCTAACAAAGTTCTGCTCTTAAGAAGAGCAGAGAACAGCCCTTAATGACAACGATGTTAGAATTGTATGTTCTAGCATGCCAACACTTGTGACTGTACACCAATTGTGGTGTACAGTGAGTTGGGACTACACCCAAGTTTGGGTGTAGTCTTGCATTGTGGGGTGCCAATCCAACCCAATTGTGGTGGAGCCCCCAAATGCAACCCACTTGGCCTCAGGTTGCCTCACTTCCCAAAAGTGAGGCCAACCCAACCCAAGTGGGCTTGAGGTTGCCTCACTTCCCACAAAGTGTGGTCAACCCAACCTTTCTCATCCAACCTTTTCATCCAACCTATGTATGCTTGTTCCTCCTCTAATCAAACCAATGGTTCCCTTTTACAACTTTCACATGGTATAGAGCTAATTTTTCCTAGGCCTTACCTCTCCCCCCTCCAGTTTTTTTTTCCTTCCATGGGCCCACCCTTTCTCACTTAGTCGCCGTGGCCTAGACCACTGCCGCCGCCCCCAATCACGCCCGTCAGATCTGCTCCCGCTGGCATTTCGCCCGTCAGTTCTGCTCCCGCGGGCATTTCGCCTGTCAGATCTGCTCCCGCGGGCATTTCGCCCGTCAGATCTGCTCCCGCGGGCATTTCGCCCGTCAGCTCTGCTCCCGCGGGCATTTCGCCTGCCAGATCTGCTCCCGCGGGCATTTCGCCTGTTAGTTCTGCTCCCGCGGACATTTCGCCCGTCAGTTCTGCTCCCGCGGGCATTTCGCCCGTCAGTTCTTCTCCGGCGGGCATTTCGCCCGTCAGATCTGCTCCCGCGGGCATTTTGCCCGTCCGTTCTACTCCCGCGGCGAAATGCCCGCGGGAGCAGCATCAGCAGCGGCCGGGGCAGCAGCAGCTGCAGCAGTCGCAGCCGGGACAGCAGCAGCAGCAGGGGCAGCAATTACAACAGCACCAGCCACAACAACCGCGACGCGCAACTTCCCGCTCCTCCCCTTTCCTCCTCCCTCGCATGCATACTCGCTACGTGGACAAAATCCTTGGTGCCCCTCCTCCCGCCTCCATTCAGCTCCTCGAGGACTCCCATGAGGAGTTCCTCAACATTCGGAAACACATACCTTTCCTTGCCTCAATCTACCTTGACTTCCTAGGCTTTCCCGTCCTTGGCGCCACCTCCACCCCCACCATCTTCACTCCCACCACCTTCCAAGAGGCCATCACTTGCCCTGACGCGGACAAATGGATAGCGGCAATCTTTCTGGAGTGTGAGGCATTCATTCGCAACGACTTCTTTGTCGATGTCCCTCTCCCAGCCGACGCCAACCTCGTCGAGGGCAAATGGGTCTTTCGGGTGAAGCAGCTACAAGGCACGCTACTGCGCCAAGGGTTTCACGCAGACTTGGGGCGAGGATTTCTGGTTCACCTACGCCCCCACCGCGAAGCCGCCCACCCTTCGCACCGCCCTCGACATTGGCGCGCGCGACAACATGGAAATCTGCTCCATGGACGTCTCCAACGCGTTCCTCCAGGGTGACTTGCACGAGCGCATTTTCCTTCGGCGGCCCCCTGGGTTCCATGCGGCCTTTCTTGAGAACACAGTATGGTAGCTGCGTCGCCTTGTCTACGGTTTGAAGCAGGCGCCTCGGGAGTGGCATGCGAAGCTGTCTGCCACCTTGGGGTCCCTTGGCTTCTCTGCTTCGCACTCTGACGCCAGCCTCTTCATTCGCTCCTCGCCTCGCCGCTTTTTCATTCTGGTGTATGTGGACGACATGATCCTGTTTTCTGACGCCAAGGATGACATGGCGCAGATGAAGCTGTCCTTGCAGCAGCGCCTCAAATGCAAGGACCTGGGCGATCTCACGCACTATCTGGGCATGACCATCACGCGCAACCGCCTTGCTCGCACCATCACTCTCTCCCAATCCCACTACATCGGCCAGGTCTTGGAGAAGTTCGAGATGGCGCAGGCCAAGCCCGTGTCCACCCCCCTCCCCTTCGGCCACCAGCTCGCTCCACCCACTTCTCCCTCCTCCTCCCCTCACCTCTATGCTGAGCTCGTTGGGTCGCTGATGTACGCAATGATGTGCACCCGCCCTGACCTCGCCTACCCCATCAGCGTGCTCGCCCGGTTCGTTGGCACCAGTCGTCACACAGAGGAACATTGGAAGGCTGCTAAGCGGGTCCTCCGTTACCTTCGTGGGACCAAGGACCATGTCCTCACCCTTGGCGGCCCCTCCCCTCCTCTCCTCTCGGGCTTCAGTGATTCCTCATGGGCTGACTCGCAGCCGGACCGTCGCTCCTCCCAGGGCTACGGTTTCACCCTTGGCAGCGGCCTTATCAGCTGGCGCTCCACCCGCTCCTCTGCCATTTCTCTCTCCACCTGCGAGGCCGAGCTCTACGCTGGCACCATGGCCGCCCAAGAGTCACGCTGGCTCTGCTTTCTTCTTGCTGAGCTTGGCGCCCCTCAGCCCTGCCCCACCATCTGGTGTGACAATGCCAGCACCATCCACCTCACTCAGGACCCTGTCTACCACGCCCGCTCCAAGCACATCGAACTGCGCTATTTCTTCATCCGCGAGCTCGTCCAGCGCGGCCTTGTTGTACGCAAGATTGCTGCCGAGGCCAACGTGGCCGACATCTTCACCAAGCCCCTCCTTCGCCCTGCGCACTCTGGTCTCCTCCGCCTCATCGGCCTTGCTCGCCCGGGCGCCCCTTGATTCAGGGGTTGTTCTCTTCATGTGTTCGCATGCTAAGGGGTTGTGTTAGAATTGTATGTTCTAGCATGCCAACACTTGTGACTGTACACCAATTGTGGTGTACAGTGAGTTGGGACTACACCTAACTTTGGGTGTAGTCTTGCATTGTGGGGTGCCAATCCAACCCAATTGTGGTGGAGCCCCCAAATGCAACCCACTTGGCCTCAAGTTGCCTCACTTCCCAAAAGTGAGGCCAACCCAACCCAAGTGGGCCTGAGGTTGCCTCACTTCCCACAAAGTGTGGTCAACCCAACCTTTTTCCTCCAACCTTCTCATCCAACCTATGTATGCTTGTTCCTCCTCTAATCAAACCAATGGTTCCTTTTACAACTTTCACAAACGACCCATTAAGAAGAGCAGGTCTGCTTCAGACTTCCGCAGCCCACCTGTCTGCGTCTGACAGCCAGAACAGGTCTCTGCTTCAGACGCTAACAGGGCTCAAGCCCTATCATGGGCTTTGCTATGCTCTGGGGCAGTCAAAGAAGAAGAGCAGAGATGCCTAAGAAACTGAGGAGACACTCAGTTTAGAGACTCATGAACTGAGAAGAAGTCTCTGGAGTGGCCTGTCAACCTGAGGTACCTTTGAGTCAACTCACAACACAAGTCACTGGCTCACCTGGTTGGACTCGAGCCCCATCATGGGCTCTGGCGAGGAATCAAGGAAGAAGAGCAGCCCGTCACAGTGAGAAGACGTCACCCAGTTGCGTTGAGACTCGAGAACTGAGAAGTCTCTTGAGTCGACTCACAGGTCACACACAGGCTCACCTAGTTGGACTCGAGGCCCATCAGGGGCTCTGGTGAGGAATCAAGGAAGAAGACCAGCCCGTAACATTGCCTAATCATGCAATTGAGACTCAAGAAGTCCATCAAACTGAGGTACTTTAGAGTCGACTCACAGGTCACACACAGGCTCACCTGGTTGGATTCGAGCCCCATCATGGGCTCTGGCGAGGAGTCCAGGAAGAAGAGCAGCCCGTCGAATTTGTGCTCTGCGCTCACTGTGAAGAGATACCGGATGTAGCTGCGAGTGGGATGGGGCATGAGGTGCAAGGATGGGGCAGGCAAGGGGTAGTGGAAGATCAGAGGAGAGGGGAAGAAGGAGAGCAGCCCATCAAACTTGTGCTCTGCGCTCACTGTGAAGTGGTACCGGATGAAGCTGGGGGGTGCGGGGTATGGGTGTTGCGGGGGAGGGGATGAAGAGGAACAGCAGCAATCAAACTTATTCACTGCGCTCACTGTGTGACGCGGTAGTGTATGAAGCTGAGGGTAGAGATGGGGACTGGGGTGGGGATTGGGGTGGGGGAACGAGGATGTCTATTAGGCTCTTCACTCGAACTTGTGCTCCGCGCTCACTGTGAAGCGACACGACACCACAGTGGTGAAAACGGGGGAGGGGCCAGGCGTGAAGAAGAGTCAAAGTGAAACAGAGGATTGCTTGTAAGGATAGGTAGGATCAGCCGGTCAGATTGGTGCTTCGTACTCATTGTGATAATGGAATGGATAATGATGGATGTACCTGCAATGTTGGGAACAGGTGTCGAGATGTAAACTTGGGCACGCGGCAGAGATTGCTTCGGAGGAACATGCGAGTGATGTCTCAAACTTGCACAGCACTCACTCTCTCACTCACTCACCCCCTGATGTAATGAGCTCCACTTGCATGCCACTCACTCACCCCCATGTAATGAGCTTCACTTGCATGCCACTCACTCACCCCCATGTAATGAGCTCCACTTGCATGCCACTCACTCACCCCCTGATGTAATGAGCTCCACTTGCATGCCACTCACTCACCCCCATGTAATGAGCTCCACTTGCATGCCACTCACTCACCCCCATGTAATGAGCTCCACTTGCATGCCACTCACTCACCCCCATGTAATGAGCTCCACTTGCATGCCACTCACTCACCCCCATGTAATGAGCTCCACTTGCATGCCACTCACTCACCCCCATGTAATGAGCTCCACTTGCATGCCACTCACTCACCCCCATGTAATGAGCTCCACTTGCATGCCACTCACTCACCCCCATGTAATGAGCTCCACTTGCATGCCACTCACTCACCCCCATGTAATGAGCTCCACTTGCATGCCACTCACTCACCCCCATGTAATGAGCTCCACTTGCATGCCACTCACTCACCCCCATGTAATGAGCTCCACTTGCATGCCACTCACTCACCCCCATGTAATGAGCTCCACTTGCATGCCACTCACTCACCCCCATGTAATGAGCTCCACTTGCATGCCACTCACTCACCCCCATGTAATGAGCTCCACTTGCATGCCACTCACTCACCCCCATGTAATGAGCTCCACTTGCATGCCACTCACTCACCCCCATGTAATGAGCTCCACTTGCATGCGCAGCGACGCACGCAGGTTGTTGTGGCAGTTGTACGACCCCAGGGAGCAGTCGTCCTGCACAGCACAGATGGAGAGAAGCAGGTGGCACGAGAAAAAAAGGGGATGAGGTAACAGAGGGATGCAAGGGACAGTAAAAAGCAGGTTGTTCTGGCAGTTGTTGTAGGACCCCAGGGAGCAGTCATCCTGTACAGCACAGATGGAGAGAAGCAGGTGGTGTGAGTGGAAGGAAGAGCCAGAGGGGTATAAGAGAGGTTGCAGTGGCAAGTTGCAGAGGCAAGTTGCAGTGGCAAGTTGCAGTGGCAAGTTGCAGTGGCAAGTTGCAGTGGCAAGTTGCAGTGGCAAGTTGCAGTGGCAAGTTGCAGTGGCAAGTTGCAGTGGCAAGTTGCAGTGGCAAGTTGCAGTGGCAAGTTGCAGTGGCAAGTTGCAGTGGCAAGTTGCAGTGGCAAGTTGCAGTGGCAAGTTGCAGTGGCAAGTTGCAGTGGCAAGTTGCAGTGGCAAGTTGCAGTGGCAAGTTGCAGTGGCAAGTTGCAGTGGCAAGTTGCAGTGGCAAGTTGCAGTGGCAAGTTGCAGTGGCAAGTTGCAGTGGCAAGTTGCAGTGGCAAGTTGCAGTGGCAAGTTGCAGTGGCAAGTTGCAGTGGCAAGTTGCAGTGGCAAGTTGCAGTGGCAAGTTGCAGTGGCAAGTTGCAGTGGCAAGTTGCAGTGGCAAGTTGCAGTGGCAAGTTGCAGTGGCAAGTTGCAGTGGCAAGTTGCAGTGGCAAGTTGCAGTGGCAAGTTGCAGTGGCAAGTTGCAGTGGCAAGTTGCAGTGGCAAGTTGCAGTGGCAAGTTGCAGTGGCAAGTTGCAGTGGCAAGTTGCAGTGGCAAGTTGCAGTGGCAAGTTGCAGTGGCAAGTTGCAGTGGCAAGTTGCAGTGGCAAGTTGCAGTGGCAAGTTGCAGTGGCAAGTTGCAGTGGCAAGTTGCAGTGGCAAGTTGCAGTGGCAAGTTGCAGTGGCAAGTTGCAGTGGCAAGTTGCAGTGGCAAGTTGCAGTGGCAAGTTGCAGTGGCAAGTTGCAGTGGCAAGTTGCAGTGGCAAGTTGCAGTGGCAAGTTGCAGTGGCAAGTTGCAGTGGCAAGTTGCAGTGGCAAGTTGCAGTGGCAAGTTGCAGTGGCAAGTTGCAGTGGCAAGTTGCAGTGGCAAGTTGCAGTGGCAAGTTGCAGTGGCAAGTTGCAGTGGCAAGTTGCAGTGGCAAGTTGCAGTGGCAAGTTGCAGTGGCAAGTTGCAGTGGCAAGTTGCAGTGGCAAGTTGCAGTGGCAAGTTGCAGTGGCAAGTTGCAGTGGCAAGTTGCAGTGGCAAGTTGCAGTGGCAAGTTGCAGTGGCAAGTTGCAGTGGCAAGTTGCAGTGGCAAGTTGCAGTGGCAAGTTGCAGTGGCAAGTTGCAGTGGCAAGTTGCAGTGGCAAGTTGCAGTGGCAAGTTGCAGTGGCAAGTTGCAGTGGCAAGTTGCAGTGGCAAGTTGCAGTGGCAAGTTGCAGTGGCAAGTTGCAGTGGCAAGTTGCAGTGGCAAGTTGCAGTGGCAAGTTGCAGTGGCAAGTTGCAGTGGCAAGTTGCAGTGGCAAGTTGCAGTGGCAAGTTGCAGTGGCAAGTTGCAGTGGCAAGTTGCAGTGGCAAGTTGCAGTGGCAAGTTGCAGTGGCAAGTTGCAGTGGCAAGTTGCAGTGGCAAGTTGCAGTGGCAAGTTGCAGTGGCAAGTTGCAGTGGCAAGTTGCAGTGGCAAGTTGCAGTGGCAAGTTGCAGTGGCAAGTTGCAGTGGCAAGTTGCAGTGGCAAGTTGCAGTGGCAAGTTGCAGTGGCAAGTTGCAGTGGCAAGTTGCAGTGGCAAGTTGCAGTGGCAAGTTGCAGTGGCAAGTTGCAGTGGCAAGTTGCAGTGGCAAGTTGCAGTGGCAAGTTGCAGTGGCAAGTTGCAGTGGCAAGTTGCAGTGGCAAGTTGCAGTGGCAAGTTGCAGTGGCAAGTTGCAGTGGCAAGTTGTGGTGTTGTGGCAGGCAGTCGTAGGTTTCCAGGAAGCAGGTCATGCTGTTGCCGAGCTAGATTAAAGCGATATGAGGGTTTAGAGACAAGGGCATGAGGAATGTGACCTTTGAGGTGCCTCAAGACCCATCCACTTGGCATGACGTGACAATTGTAGCACTCAGGGAGCAGCCTCGTGAGTGAGCCAACGTTTTGCACGAGACTCCCTACAGGAAACGTTCGAGTTCTGAGAACTCTAAAACGTCAAAGGTCTCAATTCACGGTTTTATTTTCCTAGTAAAAAAACATTCTGTACTCTACTTAGGTGCTAAATAGGTGCTAGATTAGGCATCTTATGGACTTTGCTGACCTTACTCACTGGGTGCTTTTGGGGTAAGCCCATGTGCTTAGCCCATGGGCATTTGGTTTGGGGTAAGCCCATGAGCCTTACCGGATACCAGTCATTGGGTGGGTCGTACGGGCCAGCTTTGAGCTGCCCGTCTGCTGCATACCACCTGTTGGGAGAAGCACCAAAGGAGGCGAGGCACCAAGGGAAGCACCAAGGAAGGGGGGCGGTGAGAAGCACCAAGGAAAGGGAGTATGGTGGATAATCGCCATGTGGGATGACTGCTGTCTTATAGGCGCCTCAAGAACCGGGTTGCTGTACGGGCCGGCTTTGAGCTGCCCGTCTGCTGCATACCACCTGTTGGGGGGGCGGTGACTTTTGAGTCGACTCATAAGTCACCTCGTCTGCTGCATACCACCTGTTGGTTTGGGGGGGCGGTGAGAAGCAACGGAGAATGGTGAGCATATGGATGGCTGTTGAGTCGATTCAATTAAGCCTCCGTCACTGAAGCGCCTCGGATTAGAAAGAGGCCTGAATATGAGCTGGCCTACTGATGCATGCCATACCACAAACTGGGAGCGATGAGAAAGCACCAAGGGAGGCAAGGCAGTCTCATATTAAGCCTTTTGGTCCTCTTGCTTGGGCCAGCCAGGCACATAGGCCTAGATTTTCGCATTTGAAAGAGCACGGGAGCTTGACGCGCCCACACATATGTTTGCATGAGTGATGCATCGAGATGGCCTTACCCGTCGCACTTGAATGAACCCGAGGAGTTGGAGTGGGTGCAGTCTGTCTGGCAGTGAAAGGGAGGGATACAGAGCGGTAGAAAAGATAAGCAGGAGATGCACGTGAGCAACAAGAAATATATCAATATATATATATATCATATATCAAGTTAAAATGCACGACTCATTGTAAATTCGAGTCAGTCTGCAAGTCCAAGCAAGTCAAGGCTTCCCCAATCGTACCAGGAACAACCGGCCGTGAGCCTCATCTTGAGGGGCCTCCAAATCGAACTTCAAGGTGCCTCAGAAACTACCATACCACCGGGAACAACCGATCGTCAAGCTCGTAGAAAGTGTCGAATCGGATTCCCCCTCCCCACGTGTGCGGTACGTGCCGGGCTTGCACTTGTTTGTCAGCATGGGTCTAAACCACTGCACCGCCAAGCCAACCATACCCAGCTATACCTGGAACAACTGTTCGTCAAGCTCGTAGAAAGCGTCGAAACGAATCCCTCCTCCCATGCTGTATGTGCCGGGCTTGCAATTGCGGCACTTGTCCCCATGCAGGTAGGAACCAGCAGGGCAGGTCATATCTGTAGGGGGGGGGGGGGGGGGGAGGGGGGTACAGTACAGGGGAGGGGGAAGGGAGGGGTACATGGGATGGATGGATGTCCTCCTGTGTGCTCTGCTGCATGTGAGGCTCGCACTTGCGGCACTTGTCCCCGTCCAGGTAGGAACCAGCGGGGCAAGTCATATCTGTGGGGGGAAGGGGAAGGGGAAGGGTAAGGGGAGGGTGGAGTGGTATGGCCTGGTGTGGTGTGGTGTGGTGTGGTGTGGTGTGGTGTGGTGTGGCATGGCACGGCGTGCTGTGGTGTGGTGTGTAGTGTGGTATGGTATGGTATGGTATGGTATGGTATGGTATGGTATGGTATGGTATGGTATGGTATGGTATGGTATTCTACGGTATCGTATGTATGGTATGATATGGCACACATTGTGGGAATTGTATCCAGCTGGTTCATACATATGCCACATACCGCAGGGGATGTATCCAGGCGATGGCAGCGCCACAGAGCCATGTGCGGTGGGGTTGCAGCCACTGTCAAAGTAATAGATCACCTGGTGGTGAGGATGATGTGGGAGTTATGTGAGGGCGATGTGAGGGTCATGGTGATGGGCGATGTGGTGATCATGGTGATGAGGGTGAGTGAGGGTGATGTGATGCGATGGTGATGGTGATGGTGATGGTGATGGTGATGGTGATGGTGAGGATATGGTGACATTGATGTGATTGTTGTGAACACTACATAGCATGGCATAGCTTGGCAGGAGATGCATGAGGCGACACATGGAAGTCAAGAAAGGGCACAACTGAAGACAGATGGAGCAAGATTATCTTGTGACTTGCTTCAAGAAATCAGCTCAAACAAAAGAAATTGAGATACAGTTTTAGATGCTGAGGTAGATGCCGAGAAAGAACAAGCATGACGACAGATTAGCAAGAAACATGACAGCATACGTGGTGACCACGTAACCACATGTTACCACATGTTACCACATGTTACCACATGTTACCACATGTTACCACATGTTACCACATGTTACCACATGTTATCACATGTTACCACATGCCTGGATGGTCTTTTCCTTGCTGAGTGGCAGGTTGGAGGTCGGGTCCGCGGATGTACTCGCACTTTGCCATGGATGGTGCGGATGTTGCCCTCCCCACATGGCATTCGGCGTTACACGTATCACCACATACTACCACTCGTTACCGCGTGTTTGTTACTACGTGCCTGGATGGTCTTCTCCTTGCTGAGCGGCTGGTTGGAGGAAGGGTCTCGTATGTAGTCGCACTTGCCATGGATGGTGCGGATGTTACCCTCCCCACATGGCACCGGGGCTAGCTCTACAACACATCAGTTATCAACCAACATGCGTGCATGGGAGGATGTTAGCTGGAATTTGATGCATGGATGAGAATGTTATGTTACCCCTGCAATAGATCACTCAACATAGGCTTGGGCAAATACCTTAAACCCTAAACCCTAAACCCGAACCTGCACGCGACTTTTGAGACATCTCAAAGTCACATGGCACTTGGGTTAGCTCTGCAACAGATCAGTTATCCATCAACATGTGCATGGATTGGGAGGATTTAAGCGGTGGAATCTGGACGCATGGATTGGGAGGATTTAAGCGGTGGAATCTGGACGCATGGATTGGGAGGATTTAAGCTGTGGAATCTGGACGCATGGATTGGGAGGATTTAAGCGGTGGAATCTGGACGCATGGATTGGGAGGATTGAAGCGGTGGAATCTGGACGCATGGATTGGGAGGATTTAAGCGGTGGAATCTGGACGCATGGATTGGGAGGATGTAAGCGGTGGAATCTGGACGCATGGATTGGGAGGATTTAAGCGGTGGAATCTGGACGCATGGATTGGGAGGATGTAAGCGGTGGAATCTGGACGCATGGATTGGGAGGATTTAAGCGGTGGAATCTGGACGCATGGATTGGGAGGATGTAAGCGGTGGAATCTGGACGCATGGATTGGGAGGATGTAAGCGGTGGAATCTGGACGCATGGATTGGGAGGATGTAAGCGGTGGAATCTGGACGCATGGATTGGGAGGATGTAAGCGGTGGAATCTGGACGCATGGATTGGGAGGATGTAAGCGGTGGAATCTGGACGCATGGATTGGGAGGATTTAAGCGGTGGAATCTGGACGCATGGATTGGGAGGATTTAAGCGGTGGAATCTGGACGCATGGATTGGGAGGATTTAAGCGGTGGAATCTGGACGCATGGATTGGGAGGATTTGAGCGGTGGAATCTGGACGCATGGATTGGGAGGATTTAAGCGGTGGAATCTGGACGCATGGATTGGGAGGATGTAAGCGGTGGAATCTGGACGCATGGATTGGGAGGATTTAAGCGGTGGAATCTGGACGCATGGATTGGGAGGATGTAAGCGGTGGAATCTGGACGCATGGATTGGGAGGATTTAAGCGGTGGAATCTGGACGCATGGATTGGGAGGATTTAAGCGGTGGAATCTGGACGCATGGATTGGGAGGATGTAAGCGGTGGAATCTGGACGCATGGATTGGGAGGATGTAAGCGGTGGAATCTGGACGCATGGATTGGGAGGATGTAAGCGGTGGAATCTGGACGCATGGATTGGGAGGATGTAAGCGGTGGAATCTGGATGCATGGATTGGGAGGATGTAAGCGGTGGAATCTGGACGCATGGATTGGGAGGATGTAAGCGGTGGAATCTGGACGCATGGATTGGGAGGATGTAAGCGGTGGAATCTGGACGCATGGATTGGGAGGATTTAAGCGGTGGAATCTGGACGCATGGATTGGGAGGATGTAAGCGGTGGAATCTGGACGCATGGATTGGGAGCATTTAAGCGGTGGAATCTGGACGCATGGATTGGGAGGATTTAAGCGGTGGAATCTGGACGCATGGATTGGGAGGATTTAAGCGGTGGAATCTGGACACATGGATTGGGAGGATGTAAGCGGTGGAATCTGGACGCATGGATTGGGAGGATGTAAGCGGTGGAATCTGGACGCATGGATTGGGAGGATTTAAGCGGTGGAATCTGGACGCATGGATTGGGAGGATTTAAGCGGTGGAATCTGGACGCATGGATTGGGAGGATTTAAGCGGTGGAATCTGGACGCATGGATTGGGAGGATTTAAGCGGTGGAATCTGGACGCATGGATTGGGAGGATGTAAGCGGTGGAATCTGGACGCATGGATTGGGAGGATGTAAGCGGTGGAATCTGGACGCATGGATTGGGAGGATGTAAGCGGTGGAATCTGGACGCATGGATTGGGAGGATGTAAGCGGTGGAATCTGGACGCATGGATTGGGAGGATGTAAGCGGTGGAATCTGGACGCATGGATTGGGAGGATTTAAGCGGTGGAATCTGGACGCATGGATTGGGAGGATTTAAGCGGTGGAATCTGGACGCATGGATTGGGAGGATTTAAGCGGTGGAATCTGGACACATGGATTGGGAGGATGTAAGCGGTGGAATCTGGACGCATGGATTGGGAGGATGTAAGCGGTGGAATCTGGACGCATGGATTGGGAGGATGTAAGCGGTGGAATCTGGACGCATGGATTGGGAGGATTTAAGCGGTGGAATCTGGACGCATGGATTGGGAGGATTTAAGCGGTGGAATCTGGACGCATGGATTGGGAGGATTTAAGCGGTGGAATCTGGACGCATGGATTGGGAGGATTTGAGCGGTGGAATCTGGACGCATGGATTGGGAGGATTTAAGCGGTGGAATCTGGACGCATGGATTGGGAGGATGTAAGCGGTGGAATCTGGACGCATGGATTGGGAGGATGTAAGCGGTGGAATCTGGACGCATGGATTGGGAGGATGTAAGCGGTGGAATCTGGACGCATGGATTGGGAGGATTTAAGCGGTGGAATCTGGACGCATGGATTGGGAGGATGTAAGCGGTGGAATCTGGACGCATGGATTGGGAGGATTTAAGCGGTGGAATCTGGACGCATGGATTGGGAGGATTGAAGCGGTGGAATCTGGACGCATGGATTGGGAGGATTTAAGCGGTGGAATCTGGACGCATGGATTAGGAGGATGTAAGCGGTGGAATCTGGACGCATGGATTGGGAGGATGTAAGCGGTGGAATCTGGACGCATGGATTGGGAGGATGTAAGCGGTGGAATCTGGACGCATGGATTGGGAGGATGTAAGCGGTGGAATCTGGACGCATGGATTGGGAGGATGTAAGCGGTGGAATCTGGACGCATGGATTGGGAGGATTTAAGCGGTGGAATCTGGACGCATGGATTGGGAGGATTTAAGCGGTGGAATCTGGACGCATGGATTGGGAGGATGTAAGCGGTGGAATCTGGACGCATGGATTGGGAGGATGCAAGCGGTGGAATCTGGACGCATGGATTGGGAGGATGTAAGCGGTGGAATCTGGACGCATGGATTGGGAGGATTTAAGCGGTGGAATCTGGACGCATGGATTGGGAGGATTTAAGCGGTGGAATCTGGACGCATGGATTGGGAGGATTTAAGCGGTGGAATCTGGACGCATGGATTGGGAGGATTTAAGCGGTGGAATCTGGACGCATGGATTGGGAGGATTTAAGCGGTGGAATCTGGACGCATGGATTGGGAGGATTTAAGCGGTGGAATCTGGACGCATGGATTGGGAGGATGTAAGCGGTGGAATCTGGACGCATGGATTGGGAGGATGTAAGCGGTGGAATCTGGATGCATGGATTGGGAGGATGTAAGCGGTGGAATCTGGACGCATGGATTGGGAGGATGTAAGCGGTGGAATCTGGACGCATGGATTGGGAGGATGTAAGCGGTGGAATCTGGACGCATGGATTGGGAGGATTTAAGCGGTGGAATCTGGACGCATGGATTGGGAGGATTTAAGCGGTGGAATCTGGACGCATGGATTGGGAGGATTTAAGCGGTGGAATCTGGACACATGGATTGGGAGGATGTAAGCGGTGGAATCTGGACGCATGGATTGGGAGGATGTAAGCGGTGGAATCTGGACGCATGGATTGGGAGGATGTAAGCGGTGGAATCTGGACGCATGGATTGGGAGGATGTAAGCGGTGGAATCTGGACGCATGGATTGGGAGGATTTAAGCGGTGGAATCTGGACGCATGGATTGGGAGGATTTAAGCGGTGGAATCTGGACGCATGGATTGGGAGGATTTAAGCGGTGGAATCTGGACGCATGGATTGGGAGGATTTGAGCGGTGGAATCTGGACGCATGGATTGGGAGGATTTAAGCGGTGGAATCTGGACGCATGGATTGGGAGGATGTAAGCGGTGGAATCTGGACGCATGGATTGGGAGGATGTAAGCGGTGGAATCTGGACGCATGGATTGGGAGGATGTAAGCGGTGGAATCTGGACGCATGGATTGGGAGGATTTAAGCGGTGGAATCTGGACGCATGGATTGGGAGGATTTAAGCGGTGGAATCTGGACGCATGGATTGGGAGGATGTAAGCGGTGGAATCTGGACGCATGGATTGGGAGGATTGAAGCGGTGGAATCTGGACGCATGGATTGGGAGGATTGAAGCGGTGGAATCTGGACGCATGGATTGGGAGGATTTAAGCGGTGGAATCTGGACGCATGGATTGGGAGGATGTAAGCGGTGGAATCTGGACGCATGGATTGGGAGGATGTAAGCGGTGGAATCTGGACGCATGGATTGGGAGGATGTAAGCGGTGGAATCTGGACGCATGGATTGGGAGGATGTAAGCGGTGGAATCTGGACGCATGGATTGGGAGGATTTAAGCGGTGGAATCTGGACGCATGGATTGGGAGGATGTAAGCGGTGGAATCTGGACGCATGGATTGGGAGGATGTAAGCGGTGGAATCTGGACGCATGGATTGGGAGGATGTAAGCGGTGGAATCTGGACGCATGGATTGGGAGGATTTAAGCGGTGGAATCTGGACGCATGGATTGGGAGGATTTAAGCGGTGGAATCTGGACGCATGGATTGGGAGGATTTAAGCGGTTGAATCTGGACGCATGGATTGGGAGGATTTAAGCGGTGGAATCTGGACGCATGGATTGGGAGGATTTGAGCGGTGGAATCTGGACGCATGGATTGGGAGGATTTGAGCGGTGGAATCTGGACGCATGGATTGGGAGGATGTAAGCGGTGGAATCTGGACGCATGGATTGGGAGGATGTAAGCGGTGGAATCTGGACGCATGGATTGGGAGGATGTAAGCGGTGGAATCTGGACGCATGGATTGGGAGGATTTAAGCGGTGGAATCTGGACGCATGGATTGGGAGGATTTAAGCGGTGGAATCTGGACGCATGGATTGGGAGGATGTAAGCGGTGGAATC